AAGTGTTTTTCCTCACACTGCCATTAGACATACCTATTTACTACAATGTCATCTGCCAAAGTGGTGTCGATAAAGCAGCGCCCTTTTGACCCTTTATTATTTAGATTGACTGATGAAAAGCTCTCGTATCACAGAGCCGTCCATGCAAACAAGGCTGTAGTTTTTGAGTTATAAGAAAGTGACCGAACCGAACCGAGGGTAATATGGTCATCCGGTTTATTAACCAGATGACCATATTATCCTCACGTATCAATGATATTCTATTCTCGTAATACTTAGTGTTAGTTATCTTTCAATGAGGCTGAGGAATGATATATCATTTAGGCTTTCGAAATATAAGTATTTAGATTTTCACGAAATTAATCATCAGCAAATTTTAGTAAATAACTTTCAAAACTTGGTTTATCTTTTCTATATTTCAACTTGTAAATTCATGTTTTTTGGAAGATAGGGAAATAATAAGTCTGTTAATAACGTTGTGATTGCCAGGCCAAAACCACCACTAAACTGGTGGAATAAGATAATAAATAATGTTGTATTCTGCTTGCGTTAGATTATTGTTTTCAAGCGTTTCGTGAATAATGCATTGCCTATACTGTTTTGGGATCACTGGTAGCATTTTCATTACATATTCTCTATTTTCTCATCCCTAAAATACAGTCATATACATATTTATGGGTCGTAGGATCGGCTGTTGGTTTGTTTATAAATTCAAACGTATAGGTCCGTTCGATCATCCCAGTGACCGCAACATTTAGTTTTATATATTGGATAGATTTGAAAGTGATTGTGTGAGAATGAATAGGCGTTACCAGAGTACTAAACGTCGCGTACCTTTGTTGCTGATCCCCTGTGAACAGGATTATAAAATGGAAATCGTAGAACAACGACTGATTTATCATGTTATAAATTTATATTATATGGCTTTGCTCAAAAGCAAATTCCATGTAATCCCTTGTTATCCTATTTTAGCTTTACTTCTAGCATTACCGCCATCATTCTGGATACTTCACCTCTACCGTAAACGGGATGTTGACACCACCATATTTTGGAGTTTTAAGATATTTCCTATAGACTTTAATTAAAAACAATGTTAATATACAGGATTATTTTCAAAGAGTAGCCAAATTTTAAACTTAAATTCAAATATACCTATATAAATAATGATATACCGTTATTGCAGTTTTTTAAAATACGAGTAAATAAGGTTTCTACTTTTATTTGAAATTATCCCAAATTGAATATGTGATTTATGGGCAACAACGTTTCAACAACCGGTCGACCCTTACAAATGTGTGCGTGCACAGTAAAACCAGTTAAATTAATGCATTACCATACATTTTGAATTTGCCGTGTAGTAGCGGTCAAGAATATCCACTACCCCATATCTTCCCGTGGGTGTCGTAAAAGGCGACAAAGGGTTTCCCTTTGTAGGCAGGAGATGCGCAGCAGCATCTTCCTGATAATAGCCAAAATTTCAATAAAAAAACTGCGGTTGCCAACCCGCTCGCCAAGCGTGGCAACTATGGCAAATACACCCCAATGATTAGAGCAACAAACAGACGGCCCCCAGTCCCCGGCGGCCCCGCTATTCCTGGCTACGGTGGCGACCATGGTAACGGCGGGGCAGGGGGTGCTAAGAATCTCCGGTGGAGGTTCGGTTGCCACCTTAGACGACTCGACCTGGCAACGTACAACGCACGCACCTTGAGGACTGACGAGAAGATCGTGGAGCTGGAAGAAGAGATAGACAAGTTGCGCTGGCATATTATAGGATTATCCGAAGTCCGAAGAGAGGGGGAGGACACGGTAATCCTCGAATCCGGCAACTTGCTCTATCACCGGGAGGGCGACCATCTGTCCCAAGGAGGTGTCGGATTTATCGTCCACAAGTCTCTCGTTAACAACGTTGTAAAGATCGGGAGTGTGTCGACGAGGGTTGCGTACCTTATACTCAGAATCACCAAACGGTATTCGCTGAAGGTCATACAGGTTTACGCACCAACCTCGAACACCCCGATGAGGAGGTCGAGGAAATGTATGAGGATATCTCTAGAGCCATTCATTCCTCCAAAACCCAATATACGGTGTTAATGGGAGACTTCAATGCAAAACTAGGCACAAGAGGGAACGGTGAGCTGAAAGTAGGGAAATTTGGGAATAGGGCAACGGAACCCAAGGGGCCAGCAGCTGGCCGACTTCATGGAGAAAGAGGGACTCTTTATGATGAACTCTTTCTTCCAGAAGCGGCCCCACAGGAAGTGGACCTGGTCGAGCCCCGACGGTTCGACAAAAATGAGATTGACTTCATTATGACGACCAGACGACAACTGTTCAGTGATGTCTCCGTGATCGCGAGGGTGAAAACTGGTAGCGATCACCGAATAGTTAGAGGCACACTGAACTTAAACGTTAAGTTGGAGAGGTCTCGTCTAATGAAGTCCGTCCCCCTCGTGCTCTCTTCCAGAGTCCCGAAAGCTTTCAGCTCGAGTTACAAAACCGTTTTCAGTGCCTAGAAGACTGCAATGAAGTGGACGATATGAATGACAAGCTCGTGGAAACTGTCCATGCGGTCGGAGCTAAGTTCTGCAAGACCCGCCGCAGAAGAACACAAAAACTCTCCGATCACACTCTTAATCTCATGGCTGTTAGACGGATGGAGAGGGCTATTCTCGGAGTTTCTCTGCGTGATAAATTTAGGAATGAGGATATCCGCAGTAGAACCAGAGTAACCGACATAGCCCAACGGATTAGTAAGCTGAAGTGGCAGTGGGCCGGCCATATAGCTCGAAGAACCGACAACCGATGGAGAAGAAAGGTTCTTGAGTGGCAGCTTCGTACCGGTAGGCGAAGTGTAGGGCGACCCCCCACGAGATGGAGTGACGACCTGGTAAGACATGCAGGAAGTCGATGGATGCAGGTGGCTCAGGACCGTGCTTTGTGGCATTCCTTGGGGGAGGCCTATGTTCAGCAGTGGACTTGTGAAGGGCTGTAATGTTGATGATGATGACATTTTGAATTTAAAGGATAAAAAGGACAGAATTATTGATATTTTTTTAAAGTTATTTTCCTTCACCATTTGCCTATATTACTTATTCTGACCCTTCTCTGCAAATTTGGCTGGTTATTGCAAAGTAACCCTGTATATAACGAAACCCAAGGGAAGTATTCGGGTAAGGATTCCCTTACGTCGCCACTACACTGCAAATTCAGTTTAATCCAAGCTGTGAAGCGTTTCATTTTAGTCCTCATAAGTGACAATGCAACTAAATTTCTTTGTTTAAAGTCGGTTGCAGGTGTCCATGGACTGCAATAGCCACTTACCATCAGGTGGACTGTATGCTCGTATGTCACTTCAGTTTATTAAGAAAATGTTGAACGTGTATGCGTCCTTAAGAATTTGTAGTGTTCGACATAGCTTGAAAACTACGGAAAGTATAAACCTGAGCTTTCTACAGATTATAGAAAGGTTTTTTCATTGATATATCTCGAAAAAAATTAAAGTAAGTGTACAATAAACATAATGACTGTACGCAATATCAGTAAGAAGCGTTGGAGCACAGGGAAAGGGCGCTTGCCTTAAATTTCTCTGTAGTCGCTAAACTGAGTAACGTGGGTGCTCGGTAAACAATCTATTTCATTGGTTAATTAGCACCGAGTAAACCAATGAAATTGTTAATTTTTCATTCAAACTTTGTGTTGAATTTTATAAGCACTCTGCAGTGATGTATAATTTAAAATTAAAAATTTTGTACAGCCGACTCAAATATAAGTTAAGGTAAGAATATAGGTTATTAAGAATAACTCAAAAACTATTGGTCTGACCTTGATCAAAATCATATGGAACCACACGAGAAGTACCAGCTTTCAAATAAAAAAAGAATCATCGAAATCGGTTCACCCACTAAAAAGTTATGAGGTAACACACATAAAAAAAAAACATACAGTCGAATTGAGTACCGTCTCATTTTTGGAAGTCGGCAGAAAAAAGTTAAAAAGACAACAGTGCAGGTAATAAAATATGTTTTGTGATACTCCCTTACTTTTCTCTTAATTTCTGCTTCATTACCCTCTCAGAATGTAGGGTAAACACCTAGCAGTGGAAAATTTATAGAAGCTTACTTTCTTTAGTTTAATGTCCCAAGAGAAGGCGTGTTAAAAGAGGATTTAAAAGAGGTATATTGGGTCTTTGAAGAGGTATAAATAATCTAATCTAATGAATATAGCATGTTAAGGTAAGGTATTCATAAAATTACACTTATTTTTTCCACGACATTATTTTGTATGCAAATTGTTTCCGCTTTTGTTACCAGGGCTTTTCAGTTACTGTAACAAAAAGTGGTACGAGTCCTTTGTGACGAAAGTGAAAACTTTCCATTCCAACACATAACGAAACTACTTTTCCAAAAGCAGTTTTAATTTAGCTCAATATTTTTATTTCTACGAATCCAACTATCAATTTTTATAGTATAGCTTGCGTTTGAAATTTGATCAATTGTGGAAACAACGCTAATTATTTCTTTGCATTTTTTTCTTTGGTAATATTTTCCCATGCAAGCATGGCAAGTCTTAAGATTAAGACGTTTAAAAATTGATCATCGTCATCATTAAAACGTTTAAAAAGTGAATTTATACATATTATTTATTTAATTTGTAATAATTCTGTTTAGCAGAAATAGGTGAAAAAGTTTATTACGTAGGCGAACTACTGGTCAGAATAGTTCTGGCCATTTCAAGTTTGTGACAAACGAGCAAACAGTTCATTTGATGGTAAATGGCTACGGCAGCCCACATACATGGCAGAATCTCATTTTTCCTGATAATGCCTCGTTTAAAGACGGAATACGAATAGTTATACCGTTGGAAATATCGTTGTTTCTTAGAGTTGTTAGTCTTGGGTATAGTGACAGTACATGCAATTGTAGGAAGAAAGGTGTTCTTTAAACTAAATAATACATACCATCTTAATTCTAACGCAAATCTTAGTTTATTAATTTCACATGTTTTATGCAAATACATTGAAACTTTTTAGCGCTGAGATGGAATGCAACAATGCTGATGTAGGAAAACTGGGTACCCCAAGAAAGTTATTACTCGTAAAATACACTTAATGTTGTATTAATTATTTACAGTATAAATAGCTTTTGTACGTACGTCGCATAATACATTCCCGAAAATACAGTATTCTTCATGTTAATCCAAGATTCGAGTAGTAGGTGAATGGCGGGTGGCGGGAATTGTGGGTTAAAAGGTGGCTTAAACGGTTCGTGTAAATTATTGCCGAGATATAGCGGGTTTCGTTATACGGTGCATGATAATGCACCCACGAATGGATTGCTGTAATGGCCTCTTTGTACGAGTACAGTTTCTGATGTTAGCGCAATTTCAAGCACGTTAATTTGTTGATAATTAACACACGCTACAAAATGTAGTCCAGCATTTTTTTTCTTATTTTTATTTTTAGCGTGCCAGTAATGTTTTATTTCTTATTGGAACAAAGTACTTTATCACACGGTACGGATTTGACGGATGGGGGCTAGACGAGAAAAAGTGTAAGATTTTTCCGTCACGACCACCTTTCAATAGTGCGAGCGAGATGGAATAATATCCATCTCCCCCGCACTTTTTCTTATCTTACTATGAATTAAATATTATTTTGAATGACGCTTCATTTTCATAGACACTAGTAATTCATTTATTTGTATTTGTTAATTAATAACATAATACGTTTGTCAATAATAATATACTACGAAAGGAATATCGTTCCAACCGAGTGTTCCACGACACTTACGCATGTTTTTTTGTATTTTTATATATCACGTCACGCACACGCTATACGTGGTAGAGCCATGTTACAGCTATATTATGGATGTAGCAAAATATGGTGAAATAGTGCTGCTATGTTTCGTATGATGTGTGTAGATAACCGGCTCTTTTTACTGGAAACGACGATTCCTTGTTCTTCCTCAGGGATGAAAACGCGTTGTGCATTTTGATTCTTAATCAAGGAAAGATTTAGTTGTCCATGGGCAACAGCATTCACTTACAATCAGGTGGACTGTATGCTCGTTTGGCACTCTTATTCTATAAAAAAAATTGAAGCATTCAGGACGTCGATGGATGCTGGTGTTTTAAGACTGTGTTTTGTGGCTTTCTTTGGAGGAGGCCTATGTTCACTAGTGGACTGGTGAAGGACTGTGAAAATTTTAATGAGGATAATGGATAAGATAGGTGTTTTAGAGAAGAGGGGAAAACGAGCATAATAAAATGTAAAATTTAGAAAGCAATGAGATTTTCTTGACATTTGATATCGACGCTTCTCATACGATTAGAGAAGTTGTTTGACACATTAACACACCGTGAGCTGAATTACTGATGCCGAAGAGTTTAAGTGATAATCTACCAGTTTATTCTTTCGTAGGTTACACCACGTGCAAATAAGTTTATCATTTCGTATACTCCCCCTTACATTGACTTTGTACATTTCCTTATAACCACTATTTATCATTTCGTATACTCCCCCTTACATTCACTTTGTATATTTCCTTCTAACCACTATATCAAGCGATAGTTATATGTTACGGGTATATGGGCACGTGTATGTCTATTGCTGGACATGGATCTCTAGCGTTGTTAGGATCGTTACTCTCGCAGTACCAGACCACTTGCATCTTTGACGCTGCCGTCCGTAATTGGTCTGGATATTTTAAGTCAAGTGAGCGTTGGTTAATTTTGAAACAGTCAAACCGTCGACTGGCGCTTTGTTTTTGGATCATATGTATAAATACAATTTTCAACACCTGTGATAATGTCGTTAAAACGCCGAGACGAGCCTGTTTCTATGCATCAGGTGGGTAGTTTGCCTATTCTCTTTAGTTAATTTTTTCATTGCCTGCATTTTCCCGTCCGTTACAGCCGTCAAAGGCCGACCATTTCTTTCTTCATGTCTCCAAGTTAGTCAACCTTGCAGAAACTTGCTATAGCAGTGGCACAAGGTTGCCTTAGAAAGGCCTTTATCTATAAATGCTATTTCACGTCCACTAAACTATTTGTGCAGTTTTAGGTGACATTTTGAAATCCTAAAAATTATCGCGAAAATATTCCTGACGCAGTTCTAGTTATTAATGAAACACGGTATTCAAACATATAATAAATAATAATCTGTGCGTGGTATTTTAATTTAGGTTGTAATAATGAAGAAAAAAAATTGGAATTTGGAACACTCGCATTTCTACTAGTAAAAAATTGTGCTTTCAAAATAAATTATAATTCCTTATTGCCTTATATATTACAAGGAAACTTTTTTCCCATAGCATTTTGAGCGGCCTGTCATGTAGCGTGTTTTAATTATAATATTTACTTCATTATTATACTCAAAATAAATAACAAGGGCACTAACAAATATTGAATTATCCAAAAATACGAAAGCAATATCATCGACAGTAGGTTAACATACTAACCAATGTCGTGGACACTTATATTATTAGGACTTTACCCAAAAACACCGGAGAAACCTTGGTTTATTACTTCTTCGAGCTTAACCGTAACATATTACACTTGACTGTATTAATGCCCTTCCCTAAAAACACGTTAGTGCTTAGAATAGCGCTGATGGGCTGTTAAATTAAGGAAAGCAAGGATTGTCGGATTATTAAAGAGAGTATTACTAAACCTAGAGAATTTAAAATTGATAACGTATTGTAGCTAGATAATACATTTTACAAATGAAAATAGATCGTTCTTCTTTTCACGTTTTTGTCAAATTTAGTTCAAATATCAAGTATCTGTTTTTAGGGCAGTTGATTTTAAAGGGAATTGGTCTCAGAAAATGGATGGAAAGTGGACGAAACTACCTAATTGACGGAACGCACTTCTAGTTTCCAATGGGACTCCTGTTCCATTTTTACCATCATACATTAAAACACGCGAAAAATTCATCACATATTAAAACAAGGGTGATCAAGGAATCATGATTACAATGCCCTTTTAATATGTTTTGACTACGCTGACCAGATTTATCAGAAATATAAGCGTTCACCTTCGCTTTTCCTTTTTTCTTTATAGACTTTATATACGTGGTAGAGCCATGCTACAACTATATTAGTAATATTTAGTTGAATGGGTCGGCTCGACCGGGGAAGGACCACGCTCTCACAGAAAACCAGCGTAAAATAGCAGCTTAACGCTGCTGTGTTTCGTATGGTGAGTGTAGAGAACCGGAGACCTTTTTACTGGCAAAGAGGCATTCCATCTTAGTCCTCACGGGTGACAACGCATCTGCATCTTGAGTCTTTATTGTGGATAGATGTAGATGTCTATGGGTCACAGTAACCACTTACCATCAGGTGGACTGTGTGCTCGTTTGTAACCCTATCTTATAAAAAAAAAAGACCCGTATAAATCCACAACTGGAAATGGCCCACTTTCTTTGTAGCGAGATTTGATTTATTGATTTGATGGTTTGGTTAATTGTCACGCTCAATAGACGGATTGACGATGGCAATATATTTTTATGGAATAAGAATGAGAAACGAAGACACAGTCCAGTGATAGTAAGTGGATGCTGTGGCCCATAGACATCTTCAAAGAATTAAAATGCCTTGTTTCTAGTTAGAAGTGTCTTCGGTTCTGTACACTTACTGTAAGAAACATAGCAGCATCAAACTGCTGTTTTACGCCAGAAATTTTGTATATTGGACGCTACTCGCCTTCACCGGTCACGTTGTTTCATTTTGCGAAGACTGCACGGTTACACCGCCTTCTTTCCGAAGCCATGGAATTGTTTCGGCATTTACCATAGTCGCTTCTTACGTCATCGATGGGACGTGATTAGTTATTGGATTCTTTTTCACAAAACATTAGGGAAAACGACAACAGACTAGATAACTTAAATTGATATTCAAAGAACTTGTTGCCATATTCGAACAAAAAAAAAACAGAAATTAAGTTAGTAAAGCATAGCAGTTCACAGATGTGAATTAAATTATTAACTTAATTATATATTTATAGGCGCTGTGCAGCGGTTCGCGGAGCTACCCAAGTACACGGAGGTGAACCCGGGCGAGGACGCGCTGCTCACGTGCCGGATATCCGACAAGAAGGGTATCTGTTCCTGGCAGAAAGATAACAAGGTAATTATGCTTCAAACATTTGTCTCGCATTTATTTTGCCTTTATTAATATATTTATATTAAACATTTTCGTATAAAAATGAATAATGAACATAACCAGTGAATGTAGGTACATAATAAGTAAAATTCCGCTGCACATGACCTCAAAATACGTTTTTTAGATATGCAGGTTTTATTTTATAAAACTGAAGCGATAAACGAAATTACATTCAACCTGATGGTAAGTTTCTACTGCAATCTATGAACACCTACAGCCAATTTCAAATAAAATAATCGGTCAAGTGCGAGTCGGACACGTGCATGAAGGATTCCGTACTATCTCAATACAGGTTTCTAGTAGGGGTCCCCTTTTAATTTTTCACTTATATTAATTTTTATTATTTGCTGTTATAGCAGCAACAGAAATACACATTCTGTGAAAATTACAACTGTCTACCTATTAAGGATCATGATACAGCCCGCTGACAGACAGACGGATGGAAAGGATGGCCGGAAAGAACAACGGAGGCTTAGTAATAGGATCCCGTTGGTTACCCTTTGGGTACGGAACCCTAAAAAGCTAGAGATATGTCATCACCTCTGAGGACTAAGATAGAATGCTTCACAGTCTGTAAATATATTGGCTCTCTATAGGTAAACAGGTATGATATGAAATTCTCTCGTGCTCTGTACATAATAGAAAGACATTGTAGCGTATTGTTACGAGCTTGGGATTCGAGACAATTAAAACTGCCGATTGAATTACCAAAATTGACACTTTAATTACACAACACTAATTACAATCTAAAACCACACTAATAATAAAACACAATCACTTTAGTTCGCAATTATTTCGCTTCGAAGTATTCTCTTGTATCGCCAATTCAATACTGCCTCTGTCGTGGTCTATACCGGCCTTATATAATAGGGCCTCAGATAGTTTCCAGAACCTTCTACAGTAGCGGCATCTAGAATGTTCGAGTACATATCGGTCCCGAAATTTCTGGAAGGATCTTGACTCTCCTAGTTCTGCTACTCGACACTAGAGGGCGCTAGTGTAACTAGTGTTGCCATGTACAAGACATTAATAGTGGCGCGCAACAGTATTATGCCTGCTGCAAGAATGGGACGGCTCGAACGAGAAAGAATCACGCCCGCACAACTACTTCTTTTACTCGTAGCAAATCTTTTCATCTTATTCTCTGGAGTGACAACGCATCTCCGTTTTGATTTATCAAGAATCTATGGACCACAGCATTTACTTAATTATAGGTGAGCTATGCGCTCGTTTGTCACCTTTATTTCTAAGTAAAAAAAACTTCAAGCAAAGAAAGAAAGAAAGACAGTCAAAGCCCTTTTCGCGTGAGCTATGAGCGACCTTGCTTTTGTTAGTAAGACTAAGATCGCAGCACTGATCTAATAGAGAAAGATACCAAGTAACTACCTACCCTCACGTAGATTTTGTCTTTATTACTCGCCTGATTGACCTGATTGTAATTGTTGTTTAAAAAATTTCACTTGGGCCAAAGACTAAACACAAAATTACAATTGACCGGATGTCGATCAAAATGGTAAACAAATCAACAAACAATTTATTCGATAACAATCTCTTGATGATTCATTTCGATGTTTTAGTATTATAATATCGAATATCTATTATTGCTTACTGTTCGCTTGATCCACGCGAACACATATTATACGTCGAAACCAAAAGAGGTATTATTTCTCAACACATAGTAATTGCCGTGATTACTCCCTAATTCACCTTTCCAGAGTTGAGTAAATGAGTTCTAGTAACGGCGTCGTTAACTAATTTGTAGGGCAATTATGAAGAGTATAAATTTAGTAAAGGCAAGTCATTCGTGTAATAACATTATTTTATAGCCTATTTCATGAACCAAATCTATAATGAATCATCATTACAGCCCTTCACAAGTCCACTGCTGAACATAGGCCTCCCCCAAAGAATGCCACAAAGCACGGTCCTGAGCCACCTGCATCCATCGACTTCCTGCATGTCTTACCAGGTCGTCACTCCATCTCGTGGGGGGACGCCCTACACTTCGCCTACCGGTACGAGGCCGCCACTCGAGAACCTTTCTTCCCCATCGATTGACGGTTCTTCGAGCTATATGGCCGGCCCACTGCCACTTCAGCTTACTAATCCGTTGGGCTATGTCGGTCACTCTGGTTCTACTGCGGATATCCTCATTCCTAAGTTTATCACGCAGAGAAACTCCGAGCATAGCCCTCTCCATAGCTCGCTGAGCGACCTTGAGCTTCCTCATACGGCCAGCAGTGAAGGACCACGTCTCAGTTCCATAAGTCATCACTGGCAACACGCACTGGTTGTACAATTTCGTTTTAAGGTTTTGAGGTATGTCTGACGAGAAGATGTGTCGTAGCTTCCCGAACGCTGCCCAGCCGAGTTGAATCCGTCGATTGACCTCTCGGTCGAAGTTGGACTTACCTAGTCGGACTATTTGTCCCAGGTAAACATACTCGTCAACAACTTCGAGCTTAGTGCTTCCAACAACTACCGGCATAGTTGTGACATGGACATTAAACATGATCTTTGTTTTGTCCATGTTCATCTTAAGACCTATCCGTTGGGAAACACTATTGAGGTCATTGAGCATAGTGCTTAGGTCCTCCAGCGATTCTGCCATAAGGACTATATCGTCGGCAAATCGAAGGTGAGTGATGTACTCGCCATTGATGTTGATACCGTATCCTTTCCAGTCCAGAAGCTTGAAAACGTCTTCCAATGCAGCGGTGAAGAGTTTCGGGGATATGACGTCACCCTGTCTTACACCTCTCTGCAGTTGGATAGGTTTCGTACTCTGGTTCTGTACTCGGATAGCCATCGTAGCCCTACTGTACAAGCACTTCAACACTTCGATATACCGACAGTCAACTTGGCACCGCTGAAGGGACTGCAGCACCGCCCAAATTTCGACGGAATCAAAGGCTTTCTCATAGTCCACATACGCCAGACATAGTGGCAAATTGTACTCTTCGGACTTCTGTACAACTTGCCGAAGGGTATGTATGTGGTCTATGGTGCTAAAGCCCTTTCGGAAACCGGCTTGTTCGGGAGGCTGGAAGTCGTCAAGTCTGCGCGCGAGACGATTCGTAATGACTCTCGAAAACAGCACGTAGACGCGGCTCAGAAGGGAAATCGGTCTGTAGTTCTTCAAGAGAGCGTTGTCACCTTTCTTGAAGAACAAGACCACCGCACTTCTGCTCCACGCCTCCGGTGTAATGCCACCATGGAGGATGGAATTAAAGAGCTTCTGAAGGACTTCAAGTACCGGTCTTCCACCCGCTTTCAGAAGCTCCGCTGTAATTCCATCCTCGCCTGGGGCCTTACTGTTTTTAAGGTGCTGGAGAGCCATCCTAATCTCGCTCAGACTGACATCCGGGATATCTTCGGAATAGTGTCGGATGAGACTCGCTCTTGGATCATTACTCACACTTGCGTGTGGCTCCAACAATGATGTGTACAGCTGCCCATAGAACCTCTCAATCTCACTCAAAATCTCAGGTGTCCCGGAAACGATGCTGCCACATTCTGTCTTCAGCTTTGACAGTTGGCTCTTTCTGGCAGACAGATCTCTGGCAAAGACTTTGGAGCCTTGGTTCCGCTCGATCGCTTCTTCAATACGAGCTGTATTGAAGTTGCGTAAGTCCCGCCGCATGCATTTGGAGATCTGTCTGTTCAGATGCCTGTATGCTGTCAAGTCTGTTGAAGAATGTAGCTTCATCTCCCGTCTAACAGCCATGAGATTAAGAGTGTGATCGGAGAGTTTTTGTGTTCTTCTGCGGCGGGTCTTGCAGAACTTAGCTCCGACCGCATGGACAGTTTCCACGAGCTTGTCATTCATATCGTCCACTTCATTGCAGTCTTCCAGGCACTGAAAACGGTTTTGTAACTCGAGCTGAAAGGTTTCGGGACTATGGAACAGAGCACGAGGGGGACGGAGCGTTGACTTCATTAGACGAGACCTCTCCAACTTAACGTTTAGGTTCAGTGTGCCTCTAACCATTCGGTGATCGCTGCCGGTTTTCACCCTCGCGATCACTGAGACATCACTGAACAGTTGTCGTCTGGTAGTCATAATAAAGTCAATCTCATTTTTTGTCGAACCGTCAGGGCTCGACCAGGTCCACTTCCTGTGGGGCCGCTTCTGGAAGAAAGAGTTCATCATAAAGAGTCCCTCTTTCTCCATGAAGTCGGCCAGCTGCTGGCCCCTTGGGTTCCGTTGCCCTATTCCAAATTTCCCTACTTTCAGCTCACCGTTCTCTCTTGTGCCTAGTTTTGCATTGAAGTCTCCCATTAACACCGTATATTGGGTTTTGGAGGAATGCATGGCTCTAGAGATATCCTCATACATTTCCTCCACCTCCTGATCGGGGTGTGCCGAGGTTGGTGCGTAAACCTGTATGACCTTCAGCGAATACCGTTTGGTGATTCTGAGTATAAGGTACGCAACCCTCGTCGACACACTCTCAATCTTTACAACGTTGTTAACGAGAGACTTGTGGACGATAAATCCGACACCTCCTTGGGACAGATGGTCGCCCTCCCGGTGATAGAGCAAGTTGCCGGATTCGAGGATTACCGTGTCCTCCCCCTCTCTTCGGACTTCGGATAATCCTATAATATGCCAGCGCAACTTGTCTATCTCTTCTTCCAGCTCCACGATTTTCTCGTCAGTCCTCAGGGTGCGTACGTTGTACGTTGCCAGGTCGAGTCGTCTAAGGTGGCAACCGAACCTCCACCGGAGATTCTTAGCACCCCCTGCCCCGCCGTTACCATGGTCGCCACCGTAGCCAGGAATAGCGGGGCCGCCGGGGACTGGGGGCCGTTTCTTTGTTACTGTCATTCATAGGGGGGTATTTTCCATAGTTGTCACGCTTGGCGAGCGGGTTGGCAACCGCAGTTTTTTTTATTGTAATTTATCTATTATCAGGAAGATGCTGCTGCCCATCTCCTGCCTGTTTCCCTTTGTCGCCTTT